AATACGATGATATTAATTTAATTAATAAATAACGTCATTTTAACCCAACAATTGTTAAATAATCGCTTAAAAATCTTTATAATAACGTTATATTTGTTAAATTTTAATGTTTCATAATTGTTACTTGCATACTCGAGTTCCTTATAAAATTCTTCACAAAATTGATATATCACATAAAAGAACAATTCTGTGACGGAAACCATGTATTTCGGGAAACCTATGATAGTCTTACCACTGTTTGGGGATCAATACGATAACGCACAGAGAGTTCAAGAAAAGGGGTTTGGGATTAGACTCAATCCCTACGAGTGCTCTGAAAATGAATTATTGGATTCAATCGAAAAGTTATTAAACGACAAAATATTGGCTCAAAAGTTGGCAAAAGTATCGCAAAGAATTCAAAGCGAAAGGAATATCGAAAAACTCTTCAAAATTGTTGACAATTTAAAAATTGATTAAAAATTAATAATTGTCTTATCTTTGACTTAAATACAACTAGAATTTTAAGTGTGATAATAGTTTACAATATTATAATATAAATATATGTTTTATTGTATAAGTTCCTTAAATTAAGTAAATAACTTGTCAATCATTGTTCAACCAATATATTACAATGTCTACAATTAAGTTATAATTAAATTTGAAATAATTAGATCCTAAAATTGTATATTACAATATCAGAAACATATCATGTACTGTATAATGTAAGGTACAGTATAATATAAATACAAGATAATGATTTGACAATTTGACAATTGTCAATTTATTACAATTTGTCAATTTGTTACAATTTTTCAATTTGTCAATTGACAATTTGACAATACCCACATTTTGGGTGCATTACTTAACTCTAGTTTAATATGATACTTTTTTATCGCTTTTAATGTGTGTCCATAATATAACTATGAGTGCAAAAAAAACTATAAAAAGGTTTGCATTCAATGTAAACCATAAAACTTGTTTCAAACAACGTAACTATAAATCAAAATAACATACTTTTCAACTTAAACCGTAATTTTAAATAATGTCAAACAAAAAACTAACCGTGCTGTTTGTCCCTGCTCAGTTTGTTGGCCCTATGAATTCTAGTATAGGTATGGCTGAGGTATTGCGAGACACCGGTCGATACCACTGTGTGTTTGCGGTGACCAACGACTGGAAGTCACGGCTCGAGTCCATTGGGTTTGAGGTGAAACTCATGGGACAGCTGGTGGCCGGGGATGTAGTGGCGACTGATTCAGCCGATAGAAACGTGGCTGAGGTCGAGAAATTTGGGGGTTTTGAAAACCACACCCCATTGGAAATGGCTATCGGTGGCAACGACTACTTTGTCAAAAGTGGTATCAAACAAAATATAGAAACGGATCCATTGGTTAAGACTATTATAAAGGATTTGAAGCCTAATGTCATAATTACTGATAAGGCTATACAATTACCCTCTATTGTCACATCAGGCATTCCCTGGATATTCAGTTATAGTGGAAGTCCGTTGGCATTAAACTATGGATACCCGGATGACATACTTCCACCACCATTCTTAGGTATCTATAGTTATTTATAATATTGTAATATATAATAATAATGTTATTAAATATTCTGTTGTTTATAAGGTTTGCCGACAAATAGTGAGACAGAAGTGAAGGAGAAATACAGACAACAACTGTGGGAAAGAAGTCGTGAAAAGTGGTATAAATATAGGGATCAATTGGTTTCCATGGGATGTCCCAAACTTCAAGAATTTCTATTATGGACCCCATCCCCCTTTGCCAACCTATATATGACTCCTAAGGAATTGGATTATACGGACATCAGACCACTTCCCGGCAATTTTTATGGATTTGATAATTTTAAACGCAGTGGTAATGAAGACACGTTTGAAATACCAGAAAGCCTTAAGAATAGGTCCGGAAAACTGATTTACTTATCATTGGGTTCTATCGGTTCCGGAAATGTAGAGCTCATGAAAAGATTGGTTGCGATTTTGTCCAAATCTAAGCACCGGTTCATTGTCTCCAAAGGTGTCAAACATAATGAATACGAATTGGCGGACAATATGTGGGGCGAGAGGTCTGTCCCTCAGGTGAAAG